ATAATAAATAATATCACACACACACACACACACACACACACACACACACACACACACACACATATGTCAGGTTGCTGGTGGGGTTTGGAGCATGGTTCTGTTTGTTAGCAGTGGGGATTGAATGCAGGTTAGATCTTCGCTTTCCACACTTTTCCCACTAGAGGGCAATCGTGCTTAAATTTCCTTGGCTGCTAACTAACCCAGCCAAACCTCCAAGTTTCTTAACCCTCAATCATGATGCATTCTAAGCCAGCAGCTTCTTTCTGGGGCTCCATCCCTGCTTGGGGGGCCAAAGGGAGTCAGGAATTTGCATCACTAAAAGGCAAGGTCTCACAGCACTTGTCACACTTGTTGGGACAGAGGAGAAAGGCTGAGGATAGTCAGCCTTTCTGGTGATCTCAGGTTCTAGGGGTGTCATTGTTACAAAAAGAAAAACATAGAGAATTCAGTCCTTCCAATGGTGGCCTCTGGCCCCGCCCTCCCTCCACCCATCCCTCCCAGTCCTACTTTTCTGGAGTGGCAATGGATTGGGAAAGTTCTCTTCCTTCCCTCTTGCTTGGCAGTCTCTCTGCAAAACTGTCCTGGAGACATGAAGTGTTGTTATGTGCAGAAGAAAACATTGCTCTGTGGGGAGGGCTGTTTCTCACTAAACTGCCTGCCTCTCATGCCTCCCACCCTTAGTTTTATGACTGGGGGGCTGGCAAGAGAAAGAAGTGACAGTTGCCTCCTATATATAAACACATTCCAGCTAGAGGCCAGGCTCTTCAGTAATAAGACAGACTATTTCCCTAGAAATAAAGGTCCCATGAGGGAATGAGACAGCCACTAAGTGCGGCTCTGACGCTAACTGCTTACAACCTGTTGCCACATGGGACTGCACATAGAGAAGGCTTCTTGTAGGTCCATTCATTTCTCATTCTCCGTGTTTATCCTTTCCCCGAATGCGAAAGTGTAGCTTACTGCACAGAGGAAATGAACATAATTGTGACATTAGGGTGGGGCTGCGGCATTGCTTTCTGATCAGTATCTATAATGAGAAATGGAATCATTATTTCTGGAGGCATCTCAAAAGAGCTGAGAGCCACATGTTCAGTCTGAGTGAGGTCTACTCTGCCTGAGCCTGGGCTGTGGACCAAAAGACTCTGCAGAATTCTTTCCAGGTGTGTGGAATGGAGGTTATCCAAAAATGCCAGCTGTCTGTCATTGCTCTCCTGAATGCCAAATTCTTCCAGAGTGACTCTACCCCGTCTTTCCAGGCCCAGTCTTATCCTCCATGGATTTGGGCCAGCTCCAGTGTCATGACTGTTGCCCTTCTGGGGTCAGGGCTGGTGTCCCACCACCTGGTGCTCCCTGGCCTGAGCTATTCTGTGCTTCCCTCTGCAGGACAGCCCATCAAGTTTGCTCACTCCATCTGTGAGGCTGGCATGGCTGAGCTCCACATCCAGGATGCCCTGCCAGAGGACCGTGGCACCTACACCTGCCTGGCGGAGAATGCCTTGGGGCAGGTGTCCTGCAGCGCCAGGGTCACTGTCCAAGGTAGGATCCTTCAAGCATTTACCCTACAGCTCTGTCTGCTTTTATAGACCATAGGATTACTGGCCCAAGTCCAAGGAGCAGAAGTGTAAATGGAATCATGATTGCTGGCAGGCGGCAACAGAAGCAGAGAGGCTGCTGGAGCATCCAGGTACAAAGGAGAGGTTACGTAGAAAATCCTGAGCATAGGCATGAAGTAGCACGGCTGACATCCCAGCACTAGGCAGGGCCATCCTGAGTTCCAGGCCAACCTGAAATACACAGAAAGTAAGGCCCTGTCTCAAAGGAAAGGGAGGGGGAGGAGAGAGAAGGGAAGACCCTGAGCCTGAAGGCAGGCAGATGAAAGAGATGGTCTCTTGAGATCCACAGTAATGGGAGACTGTCTCACATCCTTTGACCCCACTGGGCCATGGACACACACCCAGGAAAGAGACGAGGGCTCCCCTGAATTCAGAAGCTCTCAGTCTAGACTAAGAACACCACCTGCACTGCAAGACTTTAGGGGGGCATTCACATGTCATTAACACGCACCGGCCTCACAAATGGCTCTGTGCCCTGAGGTGCTAATATTAAGCAGGCCCTGAGACTTCTGAACAGTCGAAGGTTTTCCCTCACCTAGCCCCCCCTCCCAGCCCTCCTCCCCAATGCCCAGGCTTGTTTTCATTCATCACCAGCCTGGTGCCAAGTAAACTGATTATCACAAGCATCCATTGATCAGCCCAGCACTTAGTCCCCAGGAATCACCATGAATCTTAGGCTTGAGACTGACCCTGCTGGGCTGTGGCTATGTATGGTGGCTGTTTCCAGGAAGGCAGGGTGCTTCTCGGGTCCAGGACCATCAGTTAAGCCTGATTCCCACCTTTCCTTGGCCTGTGCCCCCTGCTCCTGAGAGTGACTGAGTCCTCTGGGTGCTTAGTCAGTGTAGGGTGTGCCTGCCTTCCCTACCAGCCAAGCAGAAAACCACACCTCATTTCTTTTTGCCCCCTCTACCCACCACATGCACACACACAAACTCAGGCTTTGGAGAGTCCTCTTGTAGTGTGAACAGCCGCATTCTGGAAGGCTGTGCGAGATGGTTATCACAGAAGAGGGCATGAAATTCATTCTGCCTTCCCTAGCTCTTTAACTATATCACCTCACAGAGACCCCCTAGGGCTCAGGTCAGAGTGTTGTCCCTGTCTTATACAGAAGGGTATAGTGATCTTGACATCAGTGGAACTTGGCCAGCACACTACCCCAGGGTAGTAGGTGAAGCTGGCTTCTGGGCCCAGGCCCTGAGACTGAGGCCCAGGTCACCTCATATTTGCCCTTTCTCAGAGTACACCTCCCCTGGCCCAATGCAGAAGACTAGCCACAGAGGGATGGGCACTGTCCTTCTCTAGGGCTAAGGGAACTGTCACTAACAGAGAGTATGGTCTGTGCCATCTGCTGGGGGGGACTTGGATTTCTCTGAAGAAATGCCTTTGTGTGGAGTCATGTGTGAGCCAGCCTGCCCCTTCCTTCCAGGAAACCTTCCACACTGGGGTCAGAACTAGCAATGGCCCATGAGGCCTTCTCTGGTACACACATATAACCTACTTATTTCTGTAGTACTCACAGCATGGCTTCTGGGGCCCTCAGGGGACTATGATATGAGACTTCCAAGGAAGCACAGAAGTTCACAGCCTGGTCTCAGAGGCCCAGGGCAGCAGCTCTCCCATCTTCCCAGAGGCTACCCAGTCTGTGGTGGGCAAGAAAGTACTAATGGCACAGGATTGGACAGTTTACCCAGTCTTGTATCTGAGGCTGCCTTGCCAGCTTCCTCTGGTAGTCAGCTAATCCAGTGTCTGTCTTCAATTGTTGTGTTCAAATTGGATTAGGGACTCAGCTATGCTAACAGTCTCTGTGGGTAGCAGGGTCTTCAGATGAAGGATAGAGAACTCTAGGGCATTCCCCTGACTTCTGGGTGTTTGGAAGGCTGCATGATTGCTTAGATGATAACATCTAAGTATGTTAAAGTAAAAGGGGAAAACTGCAGCAAAGCCCCACCAGGTCCTTTGAATCTGCTGTCAGCAGCCTGGTGAGTGAGTGCCCTCCCGGGTGGGGGATGTACTGACCTTTCCAAGCCAGACTGAAGCTCAGAACCATAAATGGAAAACAAGGCTGAGACACGACCACACTCAGGCCCAATACAAGACTTCCCTGCACAGGGCTGGCAGAGTAAACCTGGCACAATGACATTTCTGGCACCCTGCCCCAAGGTGCTTTGGAGGTTCCAGGCTATATTTTACACCACCCTCATCTTTGGAGTTATTCTGACTTTCTTAGCAGCTCTTTTGGCTCCCAGGCCCCTGGGAGATGTTAAGCGACTTACTCCATGCTGCCTCAACTTCTGATCCATCCTTCCCAGGCCTGGTTCTGTCACTCTCAGTGTGGCATTGCAAAGTGAATACAAAGCCAACTGCTTGACCTGAATTCCACTCACCACATCCGAGTCCTGCTACCTGCCTGTCAACTCTCCAGGCATTACCTTCCTCTGTGTGACATGGGGTCACTGATAGTCACAGTACTGTGAGGATTAATTGAATTGTCCCCAGACTGTAGAATGTTCCATATGTGCTGGTATGATGGGTGTCCAGACTTTAAACAAGACAGATTATTGCAGGAAGTGATTTTACCAAATAATCAGCTTGCTGCGTTATTATCTGTGTCCTTGGTAAAGGGCAGGGAGGAATGATGTGCCTCTGAACCAAGTGAGAGACATGAGGAATTGGTTCAAACTGACTTGGAGCCAGCCATGGGCTCGTGTGCTGCACCTCGAGGCTCTGACCACAAGATGGCACAATGCAGCAATGCATTGCTCTCCACTTGCCGTTTTTTTCCTGTGAGAAGCTGACTGTGCAGCCCTTCTGCCAGATTAGAGCTGTCTGTGGGAATCTAGCAGATTCTATGCTGAAGGGGAAACACTGGGACTCTTTCTCACCTCTTTATCCTTTTGTCAAGGCTTCGCAATCTTCCAGAGCACTGGCCCAGCACTCTGGGTTGTTCTGTAACCCCTCTGCTTGTCTCTGTAGCTCTACACCTAAAACCTAGCTAGCCCCTAGCATATGTCACTTTATCCCAGAAGCCTTCCCTGTTCACCTCCGAATAAGCCCTGCTAACACCGTGCACCACCCTTGTCGCATTCACTTATAGCAAAAATCTTTGTTGCAGTCTTCTGGTCTGGGGACACTAAAACACAGGTCTGCCTTGCCCTGCCTGCCCTCTGATGGAGATGGTGGCAACAGTCAAGACATGGCTTAACTTCTCATGCTGATACATGCTCTTAAGAAAATGAACAGAGGTCTGGGGGTGTTGCTCAGCGGTAGAGAGTACATCCACCATCCCTACATCCCGTGCTGGGTTCCCAGCACCACACACACACACACACACACACACACACACACACACACACACACACACACTTGTGGATCTGTTAAGTTATAATGAAACAACTTTATTTGGATCCCTCCTAAAGAAAAGCCTGAGACACAGAGGAGTTACAAAAGTGAACAGGGAGTAAGATTAGACAGAAGCAGAAGGGATGCTATTCCAGGCAGGCGGCAGGCAACACAGCAAGTGCAAAGGCCCTGAGGTGGGATCAAAGCCATCGTGTCTGGAGCCAAGGTAGCAGAGGAACAGAACATAATGAGGTGGGGGTGTGTCTGCAGGGCCTCAGGGTTAAGGAACATTTGCTCTAATTGCAGTTTTGAGTATCTGCTCACTGTCCTCCTGATACTGTAGTAGCTCGGAGCCTGTCCTGTGAGCCCCTGGGAGTGGTGAGCAGTGACTGAGAGGACAGTGAGGTGGACTAGTCCCATATGCAGGGAGGCATTCCCTCAACTTCCCCACTCGTTTAGGATCTCAGTGCTCTGGAATTTCCAGGAGGCCTGCAAATTAGCTCTCAAGAGCCCCCCAACAAAGATGCCTGCTTCTCTTCTCTCCAGGCTAAGAGAAAGACAATCCCCACTATTAACCAGGCAGGCAACATAGTTTTCCCTCCACACCAAAAATGGAGCCTAATGGATGATGAATCTGAATTCCTACAGTGTCCTGAAAGATCTAGAAACAGTCACCTACTCCCTGTATCAGGACTGGGCTAGGATATTTTAATTTAACACACACACACACACACACACACACACACACACACACACACACACGCACTCAAGCACATGCACATCTATGTTGAGGCTAAATTCTTTTTTATTTATTTTTATTTTATGTGCATTGGTGTTTTGCTTGCATATATGGCTGTATGAGGGTGTCAGATCTTGGAGTTACAATTGTGAGCTACTATGTGGCTGCTGGGAATTGAACCCAGGTTCTCTGGAAGAGCAGTCAGTGCTCTTAACCACCAAGCCATCTCTCCAGCCCAAAGCTAAATTCTTAAGCAACAAGATGCGTTAATAATCTGCTCATTTTAGCTATTTTGACATAGTTTCTCCACTGATGGTTTGTTTGTTTAACTAAAGGCATGCTGGGCCTATGAGAGGAACCCAAGGACATCAAATGTAAGGTAAAAAAAAAATGTTTTGTGAGGACATTTGTTGAAGAGTTCTTTTGATGAAGAGAACAACAGACCCCTCAAAGGCGGCCATGTTCTTGGCTCTGAACATGTAGGCGTGTGGCAGCTCACAGCCTCCTCCTCTGCCCATCCCGAGGATGTGCATATCCTTTGGACCCTATATCATCTGTCTCCTGGCATAAGTCATGAACCCACCTCTGTCAGCTAAGCATGCCAGCGACCATTTTAACCCTTACGTTGGCTAAGAAGGGACTCTGTGAAGAAGAAGAGGCAGCACTGTCTTTAACTGTCTTTTTAAAACTAAACTGAGAATTTGAGTGTGCCCGAGCATCTGCTCTCAGCCTTTGAAACTTAAGCAGTGAGCTAAGTGTCAAATCAATGCCTCACCAGCATTTTCATTTTCTGCAGGCTGAGGCCTTGGGGGGGTGGCATGCAGGCAGGATGTGTCCATCTGGTA